TATCTAGTTATTATAGGCTTTTCCGGTTATTTTGTACAACCTATTGCAGCACTTCTATAAATGTTTAGAGGAGGATAAACCAAATATATACATTGTCCACATATATCTACCTCGAAACATTTTTCTATAGATATTCATTGAAAACGAAAATACTGAAAAATTTAAATTTAGCACTTTTCCATTACGGTACATTTCAGAAAAATCATGTATAAACAAAAATTATAGAGATCGATATCGCAAACAACTTTTAGTTCAACAATTTTCATAAAAATCAGAATTTTGCACATTTTGTCAAATTTCTCGAATACGGACCATTTCAGGAAAATTTTACATATAACAAAAATTATAGATAATAATATTAGAAGTAACTTTTATTTGAACAATTTTCTCCTCCAAACATAAATAACAGATATATTCCATAAAATATAAAAACGGCCTCCCATAAAGTATCCCCCCAGATGATTCGACTTTGTCCAAAATCTAATCATTTCACTTCAGGCCCAAATAAACCTTAAGTTTAAAATTTTATGTTTTTTTCTTTATCAGTTTTTGAGTTTTCTTCAAAATTCGAAATTTACACATTTTCTCAAATATCTCGAATACGGTCCATTTTAGAGAAATTATGTATAGAATAAAAATTATAGAGAATTATATTACAAACAACTTTTATTTAAACAACTTTTATAAACAATTATTTTTTTTACATTTTGTCAAATTTCTCGAATACGGACCATTTTAGGAAAATTTTGCATAGAACAAAAATTATAGATAATTATTTGAAGAATTTTCTTCTCCAAACGTAAATAACAGATATATTCCATAAAATATAAAAATGACCACCTATAAAGTATCCCCCCAGATGTTCCGACTCTGTCCAAAATCTAATCAACTCATTGGACGCTAAAACAAAGCTTAAGTTTAAAATTTGGTGTTTTTCGTTGTATCGGTTCATGAGTTATACAGACACACAGACACACACGCACACCCACACGCACACCCACACGCACACCCACACCCACACCCACACCCACACGCACACGCACACGCACACGCACACGCACACGCACACGCACACGCATACGCACACGCACACACACACACACACACACACACACACACACACACACACACACACACAGACACAGACATCATCGCAAAAATAGTCAAAACGGATTCAGGGGACCTCAAAACGTAAAAATCCGTCGAAAACTCGAGGTCAAAAAAAATCATGATTCCTCTACTTTCCTTATATCTGTATACAGATAGGAAAGTAAAAATGAATCATTTTAGGTTAACTGAGACTCTGCTGTAGAATCCGTATATAATTGATAGCGGAGTCTCAATAAACCTGAAAACTAGCAAGGCTGGAGGCCCAGTCACACTCTATAGATATAGCGCTAGATATAGTGTATATTAGGAACATATCTTATAGTACCTTAATATACAAAGAACCACAGTTTCATTAAAAAATATTTATTTATTTTTGTGTACCTATTACAAACTTGTATACTGCCCCATTTAGTATCTTTAAACCTGAATATATATTTTTTTTTTATTTGAAATTTTGGGAAACTAAACCAAGGAATGTACACTACCTTTTTAATTATATTAGGTGACGTAATCATTAAAAATGGCAGACGGGAGCCGTTATGGCAAGTGATATATTATTTGAAACCCTTTCCAATGATATCAATATAACTAAAATATTTTTTCTTTTTACTCATAATGAATTCTTTGTTTTAAATGTTCAATGCTGGTGTACCACAAATATTTAACCTTTGGCACTGTATTATTCTCGTTTAAAATCAAAGATTTTTATGAATTCATATCTCATGACGGATCAAAAAATAAATAGGAGGTGGAGGGACTTTAGATCCGCATTGTATAATCGAGAGCAGAGGCTATGTGAACCTGAAAATTAACACAGCTGGAGGCCTAGTCGTACCGTATACATCTTCAAAAATCTAAACGCGGACCATACAAGCGAAATCCATTAGGGACGAACTTAAGTTGGAGTGAGGTGAAAGTCGTACATACCGTGAGTCAGGCCATTGAATAGGTAGTGCGCTGCACAGCTCATATCGCAATGAGTCTCAAGGATGTAAGCATACTTATATTTATTTAAATCTCTATATTCCACACGAAAAGTTCGAAATGGTATATTTTAATTTTGGATGTATGAAAATGAATAATCCACAATACGACACTTCAGTGGAAAGTCAATTTTAATGATTTATAGGACAACGTAACAAAACAATTCGAAGGAACATGAACTTAAATAGATTGTTGCCATTAAGGTTAAGAATAAATAAATGTAATGAAAATCCCAATAAACCAAATTAACAAAATTATGCTGCACATTAAATTACTATTATAATAAGCTTTCAAATGAGCTGTCACACTTAACAATATGTACCACTTTTTTATCGTGCTAAAGGGCGCTAAAATCAAAAGTAACACTATAAACAGTCACATTTCTAAAAATTATTCATTAAATTACATTTGCGTTGATGTGTAATACTTAGTACGTTTTCTATTTAAATTGTATTGGTTAGTAGTGGGAAGGAGGAGAGGGGAATGTTGTGTGTCAGTTTAGGATGTGATAAAAATGTGCCAGCCTTAGAATAAAAATCGACCTAATTTAAACAATTCTTTGTATTAATTTGAAGCAAGTGGTGATACAATTGAAATCAGCATAATAAAAGGAAGCTTAAAAATTTGTATGTTATGTTGGGAATGGGGTGCTAAAACACTACGACCTAAAATATTTATTGTACCCCTTTTGTCGCTAATGCAGCAAGGAAATGTCGCAATGCCTACAACGATCCTTCCAATCATATCTTCCTTGAGTGGCTTCAAGTTAGGTAAATATCACTCTTCTATTTAATATGCTCTTAGGTATAGTGTCCTTGGATTTTGGAGTACTACACATTGTCAGAATGTAAATGGAGGTTTTGTCTTCCTCTTCACAGAATCTGCTCACTATATTCTACTACTCTTAGTTTACTTAAGGTGTCCTTTTAGTGGGCAATGCCCAGTAAGGATCCCTGATACAATACGTAACTTGTTCTTGTAAAATTGGTAAAAATATAGGGTGTTCTATTTATAAAATACTGTCATTGACGTCATTACAAGATGATTACAAGATATATTGAATTATGAGAAAATAAACTAAATTAAAATAAAAAGTTTACTTATTTTATTTTACGTCTTGGTCATATATCATATTTGAGTTGGAATTTTCTTTTTATTTACTTTTATAATAATGCCTAAATATACGTACTAATCAAGGTGCTAACCTTATTATTTAAATAATATCAACCAAAAAATTATTAAACATTTTCTAAAACAAAAATGTTTATTGTGGCATTTTATTTTCTACGGCGCTCTGTAGTACTTGTCGCGTTCAAGATCGAAAATAGTTCATTTTAATTTTTAGACTGACCCGAGTCGAGAGACAAAACTACCAAGCCTCCTAGTACGTATATATAATCAACTGCAACGTTGCCAAACCAAAAGCGCGCAGCGAATAGCTTAAGGCGCCCAGTTGACATGTAACATTAAACATCTTATACACAGCGAAATGTATATTAGCAGCGCACCAAGCGGCGAACGCCTGAACTAATATTTTATACAGGATCAAAAACGGCTCAAATGGGCGTCCTCGAGATTTTTGTGTTAATGGGTGTTTTAGGGTGTCTACATCATCTAGAACAATTTTCAATGGGTTGTCACTGGGGATCCGTATATCGGAAGCCCAGTAACAGCGGAGTCTCAGTGAACCTGAAATTTAACATGGGGGGAGGCTCAGTAATACTTTGTAGATATATATATATATATATATATATATATATATATATATATATATATATATATATATATATATATATATATATATATATAAGTAGTATAATATGTGAATTATTTAAATGAAACCTTTGCATATATTTTCATTCCATTCTTATGACTTAATTGAATGACGTCTCACAGACACCACGCAGCTACACTTGTTTCCAAATTGAACGCGGGTGACCGAAGGTTAAGTGACTAATGTTAAAAATATGAAGTTTAAGAAACAAACGGTATTAAAAAAAAATGTGTTTTGGAAGAACGTCAGAACTTTTAAAGAATATTATTCTTATCATAAGAGAAGATTCCCAATAAAGATATTTTAATGAAAAATAATCAGTTCCACTAAAACAATTAGCTTTTTAAAATACCATTTTTCAGAGACTCAAAAATAACAGATATAAGAACCCTTGAAAATTATCAGTGACACGCTTTTGTATAGTTGCAACGTTATTTAATTCGTTAGTTTTGTTCGATTTCTATTGAAGTGAAAAGTAAGGGAAAATTAAAAAGTAAAGTGAAAACGTTGCTAACAAACGAATTTAATAAAAAAGTAGTAACAGCAATGAATAATAAAGGGTTTGATTATACAAGTGCGTGGAACGAATAACCCATGGTTTTACACAAACATACATGTTTGTGGTATGTTACGATATTGCACTCAGCAACTTTATTTTATTTTTGTTATATTTGAATGTTTGAAAAAATGAATGGTATTTTATTGAATTTTCTATACAAAAAAAGTGTTAGTAAAGAAAATTTCGCAATTAAAAATTATCAACATCTGTATATTTCTATTACAGATTTATATAACAACGCTTGTTGAATCGGTCAATAGTTAATGCTCCCACAACTTTATTAGACGCCTAATTTGAAGTTCATGTCATTCAAATTACATTTTCAAGCTCTTGTCAAATTTTATCTGGTCTATAAATTTTAGTGAATGTTGTTGCAAACGGCTGTGAATCCCATATAATTCAAATAAGAATAATTAATTATATTATCAAGCGATTTTAATTAATAGATAGTTACCTATATATAGATAGATTAATAGATAACTTATTATGTATCTGCTACACCTGATAAGAATTAGATTTATTATAGAATTTTGGTTATAAATAATATATTTTACACTTTATTACTCTTTCTAGGTTTGTCACATAAACAATGTATTATAAGAATTAACAATGGAATACGAAGAAACAATTTCTTTTGCTGTTTTATATCAATTAGATGAATACAATAAGATAGAAAAATTTGAACTCTATGAATACGACACAGTTGGTAAATATAAATTATTATAATAATCTTTGAAAGTTACTGATTTTGATAATCTTATTTATTTAGAGCTGCTTAAGATAAAAATCCATGGTGTTTTTGATATCCCTCCACATGCACAAATTATTGGAGGATGGATGAAACATCCTGAAGATGATCAAACCATTTTGCAAGTTTGTTCTCACTTAAACCGTATTAATTATTTAACATTAAGTAAATTAGGTGGAATCTCGCACACAATTGACTTTGACGATACACATTTCAAAATAAAGGACACGGGTAAGTGATAGTTATTTTTTTTGGCTTTATATAGTAACCAATTCCTCTCTTCTTTATGTGTGTCGCCTAGTTTGCACAAGCTCCTGAGCTTAACAATAAGGGTATATTTATACTTTCTTATTATTAGTATTTGCATTAGTATTATGATTAAATATTAACTTGAACCTTCACAATGTAATGGAGACATTTATACTCGATTTATGATTAGTATTAGCATTAATATTTATGCTTAATAATTGACAGGTTTAACTTTTATGTTAAATCAAATTTCTTTTTTTCTATCAAATGAATCAATGACGTATTTGGCCTTTGTTTTTAATAGACAACGGATAATAATAATTGACAGTATGATTATGTTGTCAGATGTTGTATATAGGTTTGTTCCAACAAGCTCAAAAACGATAATATTTCGGTACAAATCATGCGCTGTATACAATTTTTGTGGATCAACAATGTTTACCGAGTATAAAGTTAACTAATGACATGTGACCACGAGGAAGCAAAGGCCTCTTTTCTGTCTGGGGTGGGATTCCGTTTCACGATTCGACTCGAATTTGAGGCATTTTTAGCGAGTGTATGGTTTAAAATATTTTCGACTGTTTTAAACCGTTTAAATTTTAGTGATGCAACTATGACGTCGCGTACGAAATATTTTAAACCAAAGCTAGAATTTTTGAACCAGTCGGAGGCATGGTTCAATAACGGTTGACACATAGAGATTCTGATTGTGGCTGTTGTATGTTGTTTTTCTCTGTTCCATCTTTGAACATTTTGATATATTTGACGTTTTGTTGATTTTTATTGATTTTTGATAACTTCATACATATATTATGTGATTCATATTCATACATTAATTGGTTATAATGTTTTAATACAAATATTAATATTTATGGTCATCATAAACAGTTGGACAATGTGATCTACCTATGGGTTACTCCTGATTATGAAACAATAATTCAATTAAAGTAAGGTTAAAGGATTACTTATCAATTTTACGTTTTTTACAAAAATAATTACGTAGTTTGCTTCATATTCTGAATTTGCCAGCAAATATTTAAAAGTAATTAAACGTTCTTTGGCAGTTGATGAACTTTGGAAAAGCCCAACAAATCTACAGCAAATAATCGTTAGACAATCGCGTATCTGTGGAACTACGGAATAAATATGATACCATATGTTTATTGACAAGAAAAATACCAAAAATAAAATAATAACGTTTCAGATTCCAATGTACCTATTAAAAACAGTTCAATTTTTACTTAAAATCGCTATCAAACACTTATCTTCCTTCATCTGATTTAACAATCATTAAAAAAAAAATCAGAAAAATTTTGCCATATGACAGCAGATTATATTTTTAAAACACCCTATTTTTGCCATCTATTAATTCATGACGTCACTTTAAATATGGTTTAAAAAATATTTTAAACCAATGTGGTGGCTAAAAAACAGATTTGATATCAAAATCCATAAATGCAATTCCGTTTAACGAGTAGTCGATTCGATATCAAATCGTTAAAGTTTGGATTATTCTGGCATTAGGTATGACCTGTCAATGAAGTTAAATAATAAGCCTGTGGCTTAAAATTTTAGGGAAGAAAGGAATTTAGTTTCCATACCTATGTCTCTGGCAATGCATTTCTGGATAACCTATCGTGCAACAGAGGTCTTTTATATCCTTAGAATATCAATAAATTGATTATGTATTATACAAAATGCTACATATTATAAACATTGATAGGTTCTCTTTATTTAACTGAAAAAGTTCTCCACGACGATTTTCTGGAAGTTCAAAAGGATCGTTTCTTTTTTGTAACTTATCCTTTCTTTAGCCTGATAATAATAAAATGTCATTTGAATTATAGATGAGGATACCTCTGAAAAAACCCACCCATAAGCATAAAAACTAATAAATAATTAAAATTTAATTTCTGTTGCTTGACGTTAAAAGTCGTGAAATTCTGTTCTGTGTCGAGTAACTCGAGGGCTATGAACTCGACACATAATTCGATCGAATTAAAAACAGCGATTCTATAACTCGATCTGTTTTGACTTCGGAAATCTTCGGAAAATCGACAAAATAATGAAGCATTCAAACTATTCTGACTTTTAAACGTCAAACAACAAAACTTGAATTGTATTTCTTTAGTCTCGACGTGAATTATTTATTAGGTTTTATTCTTATGGGTGGGGTTCTTTCGTAGTGTTCTCATTTATAAATTGAATGACATCTGTAAGTTGCCGCGGAGCACCATGAAAAATAATAATAGTCGTCCCTCCCCGACAACAATTAAATTGTATTGTAAGATTAATAATTTATTTTTTTATGATGATGCTTGGGGTTTATTCTGGATATCCTCATCTATAAGTTAGATGACACCATCTGTAAGTTCCATTGGAGCGCCATTGCAAATAATAATAATACGGTTGTCCCTCCCCGATACCAGCTATATTCTTTCAGAGTTGCAGGGATCACTCGTAATGGGGTAAATTGTAAAAAGATTATTATTTATTATTATTGTGCTTTGTGCTAAAGAAAGAATGACCTAAGGGAAAGAAGCAATCCTTTCGAACTCTCCGAAAATCGCTGTGGATAGCTTTTTTGGCTGAATAAAGATTACCTACCTTTATTAATTTATATTTTATAGCGTTTTGTGTAATTAATAAATCCTCTTATTGATGTTTCAAGTAGTATGCAGAGTCCCTACTATTTCATAGGGACAGTGTTAATATTTCTTAAACGCTAATAGGTAGAAGGTTGGTTAAATAAGAGAAAAGTTACGCAGTTTTGTGCTTATTAAAATGGTGCCAAGAAACATATCTACAGGGAGGTTTAAAATATCGGACAAAAAATGAAAATTGTAATTTCGTCAAATTAATTCATTCGTTTTTTGTCAGATATTTTGAATTTCTTTGTAGATATCAAATGTTTTCTGGCATCATTTTAATAAGCACAAAACTGCGCCACTTTTGTCAAATTCAACCATTTTTCTATTTGTTACCGTTTAAGAAATAGCAATACTGTCCCTGGCTCACGAGCTAGTAGGTACCTATCTAATTGGGAGGATTCACAATGGGCCTAGTGAGGCCTAAGTGCCATGAGTTTACCCACCCTTCACACGTTACCAGATACAGATACTGTCACTATGAAATAGTAATGACCCCGTAAGTACCTAATAGAGAAAATAAGGCCCTTAATGCAAGAGAGGTTATTTAGAAAAGGCACATTACTGCAGCAAAGGTTCATAACTAATGTCAAAAAAATTCAACTTTAATGATTTGATATCGAATCGACTACTCTAGAGCTATCGAGTTATTTTATCGAGTTTATTGTCGAATTTCGTTGAACGGAATCGCAATCCGAGTCGAAGATTTCCGAAGTCAAAACAGATAGAGACTATAGAATTGCTTTTCATAATTCGATCGAATTATGAATCGTATCGAGATCGAGTTACTCGACACAGAACGGAATCCCACCCCTGCTGATGTGTCTCATATTTCTGCTTCTTTTTATCTATTATAAAATGTCCTTAATTAAACCTATTTTTGAATAATATTTTAAAATAAAATTAACTAGTAAAAATATTAATAAAAACACGTTTAAAACTCAAACATCTTAAAAAATATTCTAAGAACACAACTGGCCTCTTACACATTTCTTCGGTAACCAACATTTTGTTGACTGAAGAATTATATCTTATTAGGAAAAATATTATTAAAAAAGAAGCTGTAATGCTAATTATAAAACGAGTATAAATACCCTTTTTCTACAAGCGTGCGAGAAGATGATCTTTTCGCACGCAGAGAAATATAAAACATAAATTTTAAAAAAAGCAATATATTTTCGCCCATGCCCGGGTTTGAACCTAAGAGCTTTGCGTTATGAGCCCGAAACCCTAACCACTACACCAATTCAGCACATAACATCGGTTTAATATATGTATACTTAAACTGTATGTTGTACCTAATGTCATTATACAGGTTAATTCTCTATTTTAGAAATAAATGCGCTTGTAGAAAAAATGTTGATCGTAACACGTGCTAGAAGCACTTTTACGCACTCACCTGCTTACCCGCAGTTTCGTGCGTAAAAGTGCATCTTCTAGCACTTGTTGCGATTACTACTATTTTGAATATTTAGTCCAGTTTAATGCTTAATCATAATATTAATACAAATACTAATACTAAGGAAGTATAAATATACCCTAATGTTCTCCTTCTATATGTATACTCCTAGTAACATATTATACTATTTAAAAAATTATTACTATTTATCAGTTATAGTACTGGTCAAATTTAAAGTTTTTTTTCTGGTATAAAGATGGATCAGTCCACTAATATTAGAAAATAAAATATCCGTCCAATTTTTGATTTACTTAATTCATGATGTGGCATATATTTTACAGTCCACTATCTTTTATCACTCTAAACAGTATCATCAGCATTTGATACTACATTACCTTGAAATCAATTTCAATATGGGCCACAAATTATTCTTAGAATTTCGTTTTGAATGGTTTTAGAGTTACTGATTGTACACAGACACATATCCTTACCTCGACATATACATCAAACACTTCCCTTTCGATAAAATTGATTACCCAGTTTTAGTGAAAGTTAAAGCTTAAGCTCACGCCCCTCCCTCTCTTGTTTGTAAGGACCCAAAGAATATAATAATGTTACACATTCCATAAAAAACCTTTGTTACCTCTTTTAAAAGGCGCCTTAATATTCGTGAATATTTTTAATGACCAAGGCACAAATTTCATAGAAAGACAAATTTAGGAATTAGGAATTTGAAAATTTAGGAATTTAGAAATTAAGAAATCTAGGAATTTTGAAATATGGAAATTTATAAATTTATTGGATTAAAAAATTTTAATGAACGCACAAATTTAAATGAATAAAAAAAGATTAGATAACAAAGTTAAAACCTTTATATGATAAACTTCAAAAAATAATTAATCATTAGCTTTGTTATCTACGTTCCTTGGTATCTA